TACGAGTGGTGTATTTTCCAGTAAAACACTCATGTCTATATAATAATACTGTGTATGTAACAGCACCTGGTATACTCTGTATTGCCTTTTTGTAAACAATTTCAGGAACTTTTCCTGCCAGAAATTCAGCAGTGACTTGTTCTTCTCCCTGGAAAATTAATGAAAAGAGTACATGTTGACCAGTCAAAAGTTAAGACCACACAATTTGACTCTCGATGCAGTAATCATTTAGTCAGTATGCCCATGGGTGGTTACATGAACACGAGTGTAAGAAAATTAATATGTCTATAGATCATACATAATTAAATTTTAATGGTATTCAAATATTTTTTTACTGCAGTTTAACAAAGATTACAAAACTTTGGCCTCAGGCCCACAATGCTGTACCTGAAAGGATAAACCTACATGTACCTCCTCTGCCCTCCCCCATGATGACTGTTGCTGCATGTACATGTGAAGGTAGATATCACCTAAAGCCTCGAAAAATTATTACAGTCGAACCCCTATTAAGCGGCCACCTATTAACAGCAATCCCTATCAGGGGCCAGTAATCAAAGTTCCAGTGAGGGTTTTTCTATTGTTTTTACCTCTTTTAAGGGCCAACCCCTTTTAAGCAGCCACTATCCATTTCCCTGAGGGTGGCTGTTTAATAGAGGTTGAACTGTAGTAAGAATTTTGCCAAAATGCCCAGGAAATGCCTAATTTCAAGCTCAGCACCATTTGATAACCAATACAAATTATCTCTTAATAGAATAAATATACATGTACTGTAGCAGCATGGTTCCCTCTCTCTGGCTTCAATTTGCCAGCTGACAAATATTGATTTCCAAACTACCATTCCCAGTTATGGTAATAAAATCATAACAAGTTTTATGTGTCTCAAGAAACTCTGACATAATTATATAAGTTACATCTGACACTCTCTCAACTTCCAATAATTCTCTTATGAGTGTACTGCTACACATACATACATGCATACATAACTTAATATTTACCCTCAGATTTCAGAGTAGCTTATGCAGCTAATATCTCTGAGCATTTAACCATCAGATAAGAGATAGAGTCCACAACACCGGGAACTACATCCCGTTCTCTTTTTGATCAGTGTGAGGGTTTTTTTACGTCCCACAGAATTAATTATGAAGGGTTGTGAGACGGGGCCTATGGTTTATCGTCCTTATCCGAGAAGACTAGAAAGTCTAACCATTTGCAGATGTCATTACAGAGACAACACTTTCTCCTCAATTATTTAAAGACCCTGAGTGTTGGTCCGGCCGGGGTTTAAACCCACGACCTCCCGTACACTTCCAGTGCTCTACCACTGAGCTAACCGGTCGGCGTTTTGCTGTCAGCCGGTCGGCAGACTGCTGTCTATGAGATGGATAGCAATGGTACATACCTGTTCCTCATCTGTTGCACTCAATCCAAGAATTTTCCTTCTATTATGAATCTAACAAAGAAAAAAAAAATAACAGCAAAGTGCATGAGCCAGGGACAGCCACATTTAAGATCTCCTTACTGTATGACTGGATGTGCATTAACTGCTTACAATGTACATTGTATTACAAGTAAACAGCTTAAAGATTAAAGCTATTAAATAAATCATAATGTCAGACTTACTTTTTCAACATGAAGGAGTTCCATTCTGAAATACTGCAGAAAACAAGCACGTAATAAAAAAAGAGACCACTGGCATGCATCATACAATGTAAAACATGTACATGTACATGTACATGTACTGTAGTCACTTTACTGTAATATGGCACTTTGAGTTTTATTTGCCATTTGTTCTGATTATATTATGAATATGGGACAAGTCACAATAACACATCCACTAAACTGACTTAAAAAATTCAGAAGAAAAACAAGTAAACATGCGAATGCACGAACCCTATGAAGTCAAATTTTGGGGGGTTGCAACTCCCTCAACCCCTTCCCCGGATCTCCCTCTGGTACATTAATTATGGCATAACTATTTAAATCAATCTGTTCCTCAGGACAGACAAAAGACAACTGTAAAATATTTTGAGTCAAAATTGCTCTACATGACTGTACAGCTGTGTCTCAATTAAACTATTTACCTGTTTTAAAAAACAGATGTCTAACTTGACAGCCCACCTTTACATTACAGGTGCATGTTGTACAGGTACTGTACTCTGACATTTTTTTTTTTTTTGCACATAAATATTGTACTTGTGTTCAATGTAGTATTACCTCCAACCAAAGCTTCTGTGAAGAAGGATTAACCCTCAGTCCTTTCTGTAATAACGATCTACTGTTAGGAATGTTCTTGTTTTCTTCAAACTCCCATTTTGCTGCCATAATCCAGAGGTCTGAAATCAGGACAAACAAAACTCTCATGTGATGTGAAGTTTATATGAGATAATTCATATATGAACTGTGGTTGTAGATGAAAGTGAAGAATGATCATCGCAGTAAATTTTCCAATTTAAGCA